ATTCAATTTTTTAATGACCTTGATGTTGTTAAACGGACTTCAATTTCATATTTATATATGAAGACACTGCCATTTCCTGGTGAAGAGCTGTAATTTCTATTCGGCACCGAGAGCCAAGCCCATTGAGCACTGAGGGTCCCTTTTCGTGCCATCACCTACTGCGAAACGGGAACTCGATTTATACAGGCGGTCTCGTCCGAAGGATCGGTCTCCAAGTCGTGGATTCGAAGCCGTGACGTGAGGATCAGTTTCCTACTCCGCGTCTGTAGGGAAAACGCTCTTGCCACTGCATGCGCCACGCAAACAACAATATTGGTCTTCAATAATGAGACTGATTGCAAAAAAGGAATTGCATGTACAACATGTCTTCAAGTCACTAGCATGTTTTTTTTGTTCAAATGGCATTAAATCCCTACCTCGACAGAATCCTAGGTTACTGACAAACTTTGTTTTAGCATGAGTTCTAACACTCTTTAATACGGCCAAACTTTGTTGAATGTCGATTCGACATTTTTCACCATATTTAGATCCCACCACTTGTTGGCGGAGTGCTGCGAATTTAGTATTCCTTTGAACCGTAAGGGACCTTTTTCGTGCCAGCATCAAATGCGATACAACCCCCCGTTGATATGATCTTGTCAAGACCATAGGAAGCTGTCTTCATGGGATTCGAGCCCGCGACATAAGGATCAACTCCTTACTCCTAGAATCTAGAGCCAAACGCAATTTGTGATAAAACACAAAGATGATGATAAGCATGAGGTCAGTTTTTAACTCTGGAGTTTTGGTATAGTTTAGTACATTTATTTAATGTTAACAAACTCCAGGAAGTGAGAAATTTGTAATTACACATGGGGAATTTTTTTTTTATTTTATTTTATTTTAAGAGGCCATTTTCCCCTAATAGTAAGCCACACAGAGGGTTCATGGATGATCTTACAGTAACAACAGACACTCATATCCAAGCAAGATGGATGCTAAAATCTCTAGATGAAAAAGCATCATGGCCAAGAATGGCCTTTTAAACCTAAAAAGTAAAGATCCTTGATGATAAGGAAAGGGAAAGTTACGCAGAAGTTCGAGCTAACAATCCAAGGAAAGAATGTTCCATCTATCATTGAAAACCCTGTACATGTAAAGTGCTTAGGTAAATGGTTTGACAAAACACTTGGAGACGAAGCCAACATTAAAAAACAAACAAAAAACAGAACAAGTAAATAGAAGGATGAGGAACATAGATAAACAGAATTACCAGGGAAATTCAAGGTATGGATTTACTAACATGGCCTCTTACAACGCTAAGCCTGACCATTGATGCTCTACAAGATATCAACATCAACAGTAGAGAAATTGGAGAGAATCTTGACCTCGGGAACACGTTTGGTGTACTACCAAGCTTTAGATTATAAACGGCTTGCATAGCAAATCAGCCAAACTACAACTTCCTGTGACGTCAATAGAAGAGTTTAAGGCCAGCAAAGCAAGGCTTGTCATAACCCCATAGGGCTCAAGAGATGATAAGTTCCGATTGTCGGGAGTAATGTAGAAGTACGGACAGGGTGGAAATGGTCAGCAACAAAGATGCGGAGAGCAGATTGAGAAAGACATTGTAGGAACGGTAGCGCTGGGAGAGCAAGATCTAGGGACATCCAAAAGCAGCTTTTGGAAGAATGCTGACACAAGGGAGAGACGAAGCATGGTGCAGAAAGAGATCTGATCCAGAGAGGAAGAAAACCGACAAGCTAAATAATGCAGTGGAGATGGGAGTCTAAGGTAATGGACAAGATGGGAAATCAACCAATGGACACTATATCCTGGTCAGACATCTGGAAATACCCGCAGTTCCAACTAAAATTTCTACTACGCTCAGTATACGACCTTCTATCTATCTCCACAGATGGGATCTCGTAGAAAAACCAGAGTGCCCCCTTTGTGGAAAAAGAGAGACTCTAAAGCACATTCTTTGATATCTATCTTCCTGCCAGGTGACATTATCACAGGGAGACACACATGTCGTCGTGATCAAGTTCTAAAAGAGAGGGCAGACATATAAAGAAAGAGCAAAAGCAGACACTATAATAGAGAAAGAGCGAAAGATTAAAATCAAACAGACAACAGTAAAACATACAGATTGGCTTTGTAAAAGAAGGCAAAATACGAAGAAGACAGAAGAAAAACCACCGGATTGCTTAACCAGGCAGGCGATTGGAAGCTGGCTGTAGACGTTTGGAAGCTGGCTGTAGATCTGTGTCAGAAACTGACATTCCAAGAGACAATACCCACAAATCTCAGGTCTGATATGGTACTGTGGCCATCACATACACAGAGATCATTGTCATAGAGCAGACAATTCCCTAGGTGAATAGTAGAGTATACCCAGATGAAAGTCCATGAAAGAAAGGAGGCAAAATATGACTCACTGTTGACAGAATGTAGGGAGAAAGGGTGGTAGTCCAAGAGAGATTAGATGTAGAAGCTTCCCGACACAGTTATGCAGTTTGGAGGGATGTTCTGTGATCTAGGGGTGACATGGAGAAGCACGTATGCAGCAGTATAAAAGATGACCTAGGAGCAGCTAGGAGAAAGATCATTATGCTGGGTTTAGATAAAGATAGAGAGTAGAAGTTGGATAGTTGATACCCACCACAAACGCACAGTGACTGATCATCACTGCGCCTCCCCCCTCCCACCTGAGAGTGTACCGAGCTAGGGGTCGAAACATACAATGAGGGATGGCCTAGGCTGAAGACATTGATGGTGCAGAAGCAGTTACATCTCAGCTGTACGTAAGTAACTTAGAACAAGTTTTGACTGAGCGTCCAGGAATTATAGATTTTCAGAAATATCATTTATTTATATGTAATTATACTTCGATATATGTTTGATTATATTTATACCCAACACAACAAGCTGCGTGAGGTATAATGTTTAGGACACAATATGCAGATGTGCATATTACCGGGACTTTCCGATTCCTTTATTTTTTCCGGGAAATTCCACACTTTTCAACTTAGATTTTTAGCTATTGATTATAGAGATGAGCAGTTTGTCAGCAAAACTCCTCTTAAACCGCTGCACAGAATTTCATCAAACTTTGCAGATATTTAGGACACAGTGTGTAGATGTGCATATTACCAGGAAATTCCGATTCCGTAATTTTTCTTGGAATTTAGGCACTTTTCAACTTAGATTTTTGGACATATCTTGAATATAGAGATGAAGAGTTCGTCAGTGCAACACCTCATAAACTGCTGCACAGAATTTCATCAAACTTTGCAGATATTTAGGACACAATGTGTAGATGTGCATAATACCAGGAAATTCCGATTCCATTATTTTTCTTGGAATTTCGGCACTTTTCAACTTAGAGTTTTGGGGATATCTTGAATATAGAGATGAACAGTTCCTATAATCACATCTGGAATTAGAACTTATGAAATTTAAATATTAGTAACTAAATAGTAAATACTACAAGTGACATCCTCAAGCGTCTTGGCCTACATTGTAGAAGTCTTGAATTTGGCATTTTTGCATTTGGAAGCTTGCTCTTTTCTCTTCTTTAATCACAAAATATCTGCCTTATATTCAGAAGTTAAGATTTTAATAAATTAGTAAAAGTATTTTCAGGAATGTGAACTATGGGTCATAATTAAAATATAAGGCTTTATGCCCTCCCTCCCCCCCATCGGTATCTATATTCAAACTTCAAAATTCCACTTCAAAAGTAACACATCATATTGTAAGAGAAAACCCCTAGCGTAGGAAAACTACAGGAGAGACGACCCTCAACTGTCACCTTAAAGATTATCAAATCCGTACGCGGGCTGAACTTGATGTGGTGGTGACAGAATTGATTCTGCACGTGCACAACCGAACACCTGAAATAACACCTGCAAACTTAGATTTCCAAAGTTCAAAGAGACCCGAGAAACAAGAAAAATTGGGTATTTTGTTTATTTTTGCTGCATTAAGACTGGTCATTTCAGTAACAATTTTGATATTTAAGACATTTTAAAGTCTGTATGTATCTCATTTAAATAAAACGTTTACATTGTATCTATCTTGATCGACCAAAAAAAAATCTAGTTTTTTTTAAACTGGAATAATCGATTTCAAGTTGAATCTGAAAGTTCATCACAGGTGTAATTTTAGAAAACAGTATTAGGTAAGGTACAATACCTTTGTATCTATTACTAGATATAACAAATACACATGTACTTCATATGCACTACAAAGCCTTCGGATAGATACCTTTTATGATACTCTAAAACAAAATCAAGGGTTATAGAATTCCTGTTATAGAATTTTTTGTTTGCAAAAACATACTTGAGAGATGATTCTCTATTGAAATATTTCGATAAAATGGCCTTGCACAGTGCATTTGCATGATTCCCAGATACTTTAAAAAGCATTATAAACTTTAATCTGGGATCTTTCTATTGAACTTATTTAGAAATCTCTAATCTCCTGATATCAAAATATCACTATAGTTTATTTAATTTACAAGTAATTGACACTCTTACAATAGTGGGAATCTCTATTACTCAGTACGATGATAGTCTTTTTACTTTTCTAGTAGGAGCTTGGCCTCTCTTCTATAAAATGACAAGACAATATTTACACATTGACGTGGGAATTTCTTACAAGGGCTTATATGTTTTGTTATAATTTTAGCCATGTTGCTACCTTACTAAAACTTAACACCACACTGTTTATATAATCAGAATCTATGAACAAAATTTGTGCAGAACTAGTGTCTATCGACAAGTTTACACATTGATATTGTTCCCTCCTTTCATTATGTTAAGTCTAAAAAGATTTTCTCAAGTGCGTTTGTGTCACTAGTATACTCTAAGAAAATGTTAAGTCTAAAAGGGGCTTTATCAAGTTCGTTTGTGGCACGAGTATACTCTGCTATTGGCGGTATTTAAAGTACATGGTTCCTAGATATCGGATTAATAAAATTATAGTTTGGGAAGTGTGTGAAAAAAGAAAGGTACTCATAAAGCACATTTTAATAATATTTCGTCAATCGTCATATCAATGTGCTTGAATTAGAAATCCCGAGAAATGGCTGTGATAGGCGTTGTCAACAGCTCGACTCCCCCCGAGTACATTAACCCCCCACTGCTGACCCACCTCCAACCAAACTCTATCCCCTTTCTCGAGATCGAGTACAACAGAGCCGCCATGTTGAATCCATTCATGTTGATTATGGTCGAAGAAAATGTACATTTCATTAATTCCATTTTTCTTTAGAAAGATGTGTAGGCCGTGATCCTGGGTTTTTGGAGTTGCGGAACCGGTAAAGGCGAAATTATAGGTTCCAGAAACAGGTGCGCTAAAAGTTCCATGAAATGGATCATAAGCGTTTCCTACGTTAGTCCTGATACCGGAAAAGGCCAGACTGGTTCCCTGTGTAAGGTTTGCAAGGTCGGTAGTCAGATAAGCGAAAAATGCAATGCTCTTATCCTTTGCGTTTAGCACCGCTGAAAAAATTCAATGTATGGTATTAATTAAATTAGATGTTATCTGATGTACCTGTTAAAAAAATCTTTAATAATCCGTTTGTACGTTTAATATACATTTACTTACATATTTGATTTTTCAAGTCGCTGACATCAGTTTGAAGCCGTATGATATTCGCCATCAGTGTCTGAACTTGGCCAGCAAGATCCTGTTCGGATATTGATGGTTCGGGATTGTTCTCCAAGAAACAATCAACAGTACCAAGGAGTACCAAAAGAAGCAGCATTCTGTTGTGTTTTCTCATGAGTGAAAACGACTAGAATTCTTATCTTGTCAAGTACATGTGTCACTCCTTTGACTTACAAAGCAAAATTTATTTTTAGAGTTCCATACATAAATTGTACTTTTGTATATAAATTAATGAATGTAACAGGATTACTTTGAAATTTATCATTGTATTTTTCTCTCAGAGAATCCTATCTTAAATATTGTGATGTTACATGTATCATATATGAATTATCATAATCAAAATTGTGTTTTGGCCCTTTTATTATATTTAACCTGATTAAAGCGACTTTATTAGCCTGTCGAAAGATAACGTTTCAATGAATTTGCGACCTTTCAGAAAAGGACTCAAAGACAAATTATATGTGCACGTGCCAAATTACTAGAATGCCTCTTCCAGATCCGTATTATGATTTCTTTTCAGACAAAATTGAATCCATTCTCTGTAATTAACGCGTAGACGGCGTATCACGGCAATATTCTCTTTTCCTCCGTTAACGAAAGCATTTGGCAGATCTGTTAATCCGTGAAGTGTGTTTGGTTCAATAACGCCATTCAATGAACCTTTTATTTTAAAAGAAAGCTTTTCGAAGGCGTTGTATTCTTTTAGATATTAACCTACACATTACATTGCATGTACTTAATGATTCGTTGAACTTTGTTGGAGGTTCAAAAATCCTCGTGTTCAAGGGAGCTATCAAGGGATCGTAAAAAATAATCTGATATAATACGAAGTAACATAACAGCCTCCTTCTGGTAATGATCAGTTTACAATATACATGTACTTAGTTTATGCAATGGTCAACTTTTTAGTCCAAAAATGTACAGTGCCTGAGAACAAAGGAACTTCCACATGCTTTTAAAGATAAAAAATATTTGCAATTTAAAGAAAATATTTGTTGTTCACTTAATACTGTTTGTTAAACATGTCAGTTTTGTAAATTGGAAATCGCCTGTAAGTATGCCTGTAAGGTAATTGATTGAGATAAAACACAGGTCATAGAAAGTCCGAAAGTCAGATATAAGCACCAAAGATTAAATTCCGTTAAATAAAATTATTGCTGACCAACCAGCTACATGTTTGTATATGGCGCCTGTTATAGATTCAATTCATACCTACAAGAGGATTTGGGAATCTCTCCATCTATATCCATAATGAATTATAAGTTAAGGGACAAAATTCTTTTATATGTATATGTAACCTCAAAAATAAACAAGCATAGGTAATCCTACTCCAGAATAATACAATTGTAGAAGTTTATGAATCATGCAGTTATTATTAATCATAAGAGAAGAGAAAAAGAAAATGCTGTTGCAATCAATTTATTTTAATCATTATAAGGCAGTATAAAAATGTACATAGGCTATGTCACTGGCCTTTTGATTGTCTGTTCGTGTGTATGTGGGGCATCAAAAATCGACCATTCTCCCTCATCCACACGTAATAACCAGTTTATTGATCTCACTTATAGGTACTGAGACATAAAAGGGGGCATCTGGTTTAATTCTAGGTCCGTGGAAATCTACGGAACAGAAGTACATGATCAAAACAATCATCACCCAGCTTGATAAACGAACTGCTACTTTCAACTTTCATCATTATACATGTATCGTGTTTATTTGGTAGATAGTGATTCATTTCTGAAATTAAAATTTCAAATTTTTAAAAATCTGTAAAAACATTGTACTTTAATTCAATGTAGAAAGAATGTTTTGTGGTTTGTAGGTATTTGCATAAATTTCTTACATGCGTGTCATTGCATTAACAATTTTTGAAATTCCTCAAAGCCTGTACAGCCTTTGATGGATTCGACAGCTTTAATTTCTTCTGAGACATGACCTTAAGTTGACGAGGATGATTGAGTGCAAAAAATGAGAAAAAAAATCCTTCAAGACATCTTAATATGATTAAAATTTGGCAAATGCTGCATGTTTGTTAAGTTACCATTAATCATTTGTTGTCTTGCAGTAAATCGCTGAGAAAATGATGGGCATGACTCCAGCGTTTTATCTGATCATCAACGCTCAATCGGATTATGGGGCCCTTTGACTGTCAGGTGTATAGAGTCCTAAGGACCCCGTCATGCGAGGGGGGACCAACAGTTGATCTAGCGTTATACAGGTTTTACAAAAATATTGATCATAAAGATGCAAATCGCATTACATTATTTTAGTGCTTGACAAATTGAGTGGCAAAGAAACAAGAAAGGGTCACGGCAATACAAACCTAATATTATGACAGGTGTTTCATTAGAGGAAGGATTGGGTAGATTGTTTTTGTATGTATATATGTAACTTCTACCAACACACCGTGACGAGTCATTTCTGGTAGTGCCAGTTTTTTGGTGAACATAGAATTGGTTAATTGAATACTCTTAGAAAATACTAATAAAATTAATGTTAGTGAAAAACTAACAGCTAGTTTAAAGTTTTATTTCAAAATTATCATTTGTTAAGATTTAAGATTTAAATAATTATAATTGTATAAAAATTTATGTATACGTAGCGAAAAAAAAAATCATGTTAGAAATCATGGAAATAATTTCTTTAAAAATCAATTTGATGAATTTTACTATAAATAAAAGAGCAATAACGTGTTATTATTCATACATGTACATGTATCATATAACTCAGACTTTTTAGATTTTTAGCTTCTGGATAATCTTTCTGTAGTAAATGTACTAAAAATGTGGAAAAAAATCTTAACAGTAAAGGAAGTATATAAGCCAAACAAAAGTACTAGAAAAATGTGACTATATAAATTGATATCTAAAAGTACATGACAAATTGTCAGAAATTTTAAAGCTGTAAAATACAATGCTAGACACGAAAATCTGAGGGGAAAATCTCTAGATTCAGATTGCTATCATTGTCTGGCGCTTTACGAAGGACCAAAGGATCAAGTTGTCACATAATTTCAAAAAATGTTGTAAAGAGCAAAATTAGTTCGGGATGACACTAAAATTACCTATAACTATTGGCGGGAACTCACGCACACAGTTATGTTAATGGTGTGTTAGATTCTTTAGAGGGTTAACAATTGTTTCATACGTATACAAAACGCACTTTGGAATTTGATTATATTCATGGGCATGATTTATTGGGAGATTAGGGGTGTAAATTTTCATAATGAATCATTATTTACTATTGAGTAGCAATCAAAGTATACAAAACAACGAATGCTTTTTATGTGTTTTACTCATCGTTTGCGATCATATTTTTCCATATCAATAAATCCACTATATAATATCCATAAATCTCCCCAAATCATCCGTTCTTTATTCAACAGCCATAAATAATATTAGGATTTGTGATCATACATGGGAAAATATCTGTCATTATACATACAAATTTTCTATTTCTTTTGCATCATAATTCAAAGAAAATTATGATTGATGAATTTCTATATGGGGTCTTTTCTGTGAATTGGATCTGTGCTACTTCTCTCAGTGGGTCCCTTTGGTAATATACTTTACAACGTAGTCTATACCACTGCATATTAATGGCATGAGAGCAATTGTAGAAGCTTTTGTTGTGTCGTTTTCTCACGGGGAGACATAATTCCATTGTTGTATCAACTTTGTTGAAGAATAAGGTCAGGAAATTCGTATATCAAGTTCACCGAATTAAAACTTCCTTTTTTGTGTAGACAGGATTGTTCGGTGATGGGGCACGACCTAGAGTATTGACGCAACACTATTGACAGGTCAAAACATTATAACGTACAATATGTATATAAAATGTTAATACCAACATGCTACGATTATATATTTTTACATCTCAGCATTGGTAAAAATTTATTAAAGAGATAAATTCAAACACTTCTTGACAGATTCAGTGCTTCGATTTGAATGCTCTTGAAACCATTTGTATTTTTCCTGAATTTTAGGCCTTGATGCTACAGAGTGCGCCTTACACTTACAGAGAAAACACTATCACATATAGTAAGTTAAATCCGTAAGCCATATCATGGAAATGGAGATCTTGTTTTATTTATTAAACTACTAATAACTGGTCGACGCTAATAAAAAATTGTTTATTTGAAAATTTGAAGTAAAATTTAAGCCCGGTCCCATGGCCAATTTTCCCAAAACAAATATCATTGTGAACTATACCTAGGAATTTAGTCTTGGGTCATAAGTTAATAGAAATTTTCACTTTGATCATGCTTTAGCCGGAATAGAGTCCACATTTCAGTTTTCAAAAGACAGATATTCGTAAATTTGTACAGTGTACATGTAAAAGGTTCTTTTACTTTGATATTCGTGCTTATCTCTCAGGATCTTGATCTGTAGACACTTAATTCATGATAAAGAAGCTTTTACATCAGCATTGTTATTTTAGGAGAAAGATTATACATAAAACCCAGCCCATTAAATATGTATTATCATTAAAATTTAGATATAAACCCCGACCTATATTTTCTTTTTGATTTTGAGTTGACTCATCTGGTCCTTCCTATTTAATTACATTTACATGTAAATCCATCAAACTGGTTGTAAAAGTAACCTTTCGTTTGACCCAAAACATCCATTAATTTAGAAAAAAAAATATGCGCATGCTAATTTAACTTAAGATTTGTCGTCTATTTATTTTGAGGAAAGTTAATGATAGCAAGATGACAGTGGGCAGATCTAAGTAGAGCTTTCGGGTCAAACGAGCTAAAAATAGAAACCAACAAGTTTGAAATAAAAACAGTTGCATAACCATCATTCAAAACTAGGTATATGTAGTCAATCTACGTTTGTCTAGTTTAACACGTTCAAAATAAGCTGAAAATAAGATTTGCAATTGCTTGCATATACATCTTAGAATCCAAATTTTATTTCTTTGCCTACGTGCTCTTCCTTTCAACGACTGTCGTAAGTACAGTGGCTCCAATCTATATCCGATTCTGTTGAAGCGATTTTAATCGACAGTACTTAACCTAATAATTTCATAAATGGTCTGATGAATTGTAAATTTCTGTCGACCCTTATCAGAACTATCTGTACTTGTATCCAAAAGGAAAGCCGATTTTATTAGTGTCCATTGCCAGGTTTTACTGATAAAATCTCCTATTTTTAGTATTCTGTACTCTATCGACAGACAACAGACACTTGTTTTATTAACATTGAATAGCAATAAATTAGCGCATTAGTTTGGACAAATTTTCTTATTTATGATCATTGTTATGTAGGTACGGCACTAATTTCGTTTTAACTTCATGTGAAAATATAAATTATTTATAAAGTATTGTGAATGAACCTGTATTTTGTCAAAATCTGGGAACTTCTTAAAATTTTATTTTATCGCCATATGTATATCGAACACCGTACAATGAATCTTTAAAAAAAACTATATAAAAAAATAATAAATAAAAAAAATTATAAAAATCACCGAATCATTTTTTTATCATATTGATTTATTGATAATGACTACCGTATATACTCGCCTATAAGTCGGTATTTTGGGAGTTCAATTTTGGTCCAAAACTCTATGTCCGACTTATAGGCGAGTCATAAGGAGACTTTTTTCTGGACTGTGAAATCAAATGTAGCATTTTATATATATTTCTTCCGACTATTGAAGAACAAAGTCTGGATTATTTAAACATATATGCATTCAAAGATGATACATAAATTACAAATATTTACTTACTTAAATGGTTTTATTTTTATCTTAAGCGTGCATTACTTATTTGTTTAATGATTTAAAATTAATTGTTGACATCATTTCGAGAAAAAATTATCAAAACCAGGTAAAAATATCACTGCATTGATTTAAAATTCTCAGCCGATTCTGGCAAAAATATGCACCGACTTATAAGCGGGTCAATGGCAAATCCCTTCAAAATCACCTCAAAAATACAACCGACTTATAGGCGGACCGACTTATAGGCGAGTATATACGATAATAAAAATAATTTTACTGGACCTCTCTCAGAATGTACACTGACTTTTTTTTATAAACATAAACGCCTGGCTTGTTTTTTTTTGTTTTTTTTTTTAAATCTAGCCAATCATGCAACGGTCAGCCATTCCTTAAGCTGCCATCACTATATAAAGGAGCTTTCACTACTGGCTCTCTTCACACGTGGTCTCTCATTAATCACAAAAAATCAATCTCTACAGAAAACCCAAAAGAGAGTAGAAAGATGAAAAAATCTCCTGAACTTTGAAATAACCTTGCAAATATCCTTCACAGAACGCAAGAAATTTGTTCGTTTGTTGTTTAACGCCTATCTCCGAGAAATTTTCAATCATACATGTACATGTATGGAGACGCCACCAGTTGCCGCAGGAGAGCTGCAAATTTTGACCTTTGCTCGTCCCACAGTGGTATTCGAACCCGCGATCAACTCCTTACTCAGTGACTCTAGGACAGACGCTCTTACCACTTCGGCGCAAAGGCGACAAGATTAATAGCTCTATCCTTGAGAAAATTCGGACAGACAAAGCATCCGAATTTTCTCTAGCAGAGAGCTACATTTCTGCAGCAAAACAATCTCACGTGTATGTAAGGGGGTCCATAGAATTGCTTAAATTTTCATTAACTTGAAATTCTGAATAATCTACAAAGTCGAGGTATGTTCATAATGTTCCATTTAAGACCTGATAAAGTAATATCAAGATTTTCTTATATAAAAGTTTATTACCTCCAATTTCCAAGGTGTTCTTTGTTTATTTGACACTTAGATAGTAACACCTAAGATATCAACATTGTCACCTGTATTTACAGTTTCACAACTCATAATCATATAATGAGAAACTAAAAATATGCTAACACCAATTTCAGCATTCCTACCTATCAAATAACAGCCATTTTATGTGTTTATTACACTTCCATATCAAAATTTGAAGTGGTACTTGATGTCAATGGGGCAAAATTAAATACTTCTGATTACAGTATGTTTCATATCAGAGTGGTTTCTTCGGAGGATGCAATGCCAGCTATGGACTTTGATTTGATGAGCAGACGGTCCTCAGTCTGTCTCGATATTGTTTATTCTGATAAACCGAGATCTTTGAATCAATTTGATTATGACTTTTAATATCTTTAATCACTTTTCGGGTTCATATTAAAAGAAAACATGTTATAAATAAAATTGTAAGCTTTTTGTGTATTATTTTGACTGTCAAGAAAAAAATTCCGACTATTGAGAAATATACATGTATGTATAGCCTAATCATCTTTAGCTGTTATGTTTCTGAATGGGAATTAAAAGATATTTTTTATTCCATCCATCGGAATATTTATAACTATAAAAAGTATACCGGTGTAATATCGAGAAGATAAATCAAACAATTTTAATATCAACTGATTAAAAGTCGCTGTCAAATGTGTGCTGTTTGTCTCCAAAAGCGACATCTACACGGGCCTGTTCTAGCGGGAAATAATGTGGATGTCGAACCCGATCAACCCAATACCGATAGTGGCAGTTCATTTTGGCTTTGCCCCACTTCCCCCTTTTCCAGTTTTTTCAAACAGTTCATCAAGCTCCTGACTCACGCTGATAATGAAAAGTCCGTTGTTAGCCATTGTTATCCTTTTATAAAAAATCGTTTCAATTAAAACGTTTCATCGCGATAACAAACTTATTAAATTAATATAAAATGCTTAATGTACATGTTTTTCAGAAATTCTTTATTCAATTTACACAAAAGCTGCTTTGCTTAATTATACGACATCAGATCACATGTTAAAGCCCCAAGAAATGAATTCATCAAGGGGTACAGAGAAATTGAATGTTTTTGTATATGATATTTAAGACATAGTGCTGATCAAGCCACGTATGTCGTCGGCCTTAATTGTAAGAAGCGGCGGAAGAGAAGCACATAAAAGAACTATTAGATTTCAAATTACGAGTTCCTCCAAGTGCATTGGGCAAAAGGTCGAGGTCCCATTAATAAGTGCATTAACGAAAGTCTTTTATTTCGGTTATTACTATACAGAAGTATGAAATGAAGGGACTCGCAAATGCAGTAAGTGAACTTGAGTGTATAGTCTTATTAACGGGTTCGACTGAAAAGAAGACGATTTCGTTTTCTATGCGAATTCTGGCAAATATAATTTAATAAATTATCTCTTTTGGGCTTTTTTCTTGAGAATATTCTTCATTCTTTTACCTACCCCTCTTGTCCCTTGTGAAATAATATAAATGGAAATTGTATATAGATAATGATAGGTTGTGTGTTCAATTGTAATTCATTTTCGTGAAATGGAAAAAACTAATGACTTCGTTGCGTTGGCTTTCTATAGCAAAATATATGACGTGCACAAACTCTGCATGAGATGCTCTCGCTCAGTCCATAACAAAGCCACGCATTAGTTGTTTACATCATGAAGTGGAATAATGTATATACATGTACAAAAATAAAGGTAAAAAATGAGCAGGTACTTCAATTTTGCCTTGCAACATGCACTTTATCATTGCGTGGGGGCTTTTCCTGTATAAACTAATTTGTTAAAACAAACACATTGCGGTCACATTGGAGACATGTGTCATTTAGACTTGTCAAATTATAATAAGCATTAAATATAAATTCTAAAAACAGTGTATGATTCACCTCTCGTGTTTCTTGAGAATAATGTGTATACCTGATATTTTACAAAAAACTCAGTAAATACTAAATGTCATTAAGATTTAATACTATCAGTGTCACTTAAAATGAAACAGAACAGAGCAGGTTTTGTAGGTTTACAGAAAAAAATTGCTAAATTTATCACCAGACCTTTTTTAGGTATAAAAATAGACAAATTCGTAGTAAATGTCAGATTTATCACTCTCCTCTGCCTGTTCCGGGTATAAATGGGTTTTTCTAACAGTGTCTAGGATGAGTCCTGTGGTTTAGCATCTTTATTGCAAAATATATAATTGTCGACACTATGAATTGAAAATCAGTTTTGATAGAAGGGTAAAGGGCGTCAAATTAGTAACAGATACCCGGGGTAAGGTGTGATTTTTTGCATTCATCCGTGTATCAGGATACAATTTTCTTCCTTATATCTTAATATTGCACCCACAATCAATCCCCGGAATAATTTTCTAAATATTTCACAATTTAGAAAAGTCTTAACCTCTGAGTATATCCGCTTACAAAATACGAGTATCGTTGCAATCGCTGTGGCTTTTCTCCAGGTGTAGTGTGCAGATTTACCTTCTTTCATGTTTTATATATAGGACGAAAACCTGCTTAAGATGTCAGAAGATTGATTTGTTTATTTTTCAAAGAAAAAACCAGGAGTGAAATCAAAAAAGAAAAATCATTCATCACAAAAATTAGAATTGAACCACAGCTTTTGACATCCTCGTGTTTGAATAAATACAAATGTATGGGAATCGGTGTTTTGTGTTTTAAAATGATACGATTTTTTTTCTGTTTCTCTCGGCAAAGAGTAAACACTGCGATTTCAAGGCCATTCAGCCGAAAATAATAGAGGTTGGCTCTTGACCCATAGAACACCATAAGATAAATTTACCTAGGCTAGTATATATATAAAGCAGACAATCGTTAGGTAAATTTGATTACGATTTTGTAAACATATATTACGTTATGAGGACGATTAAAGTCGTACCCCCAAGACCGATAAGTACCGTGAATACACTACAATGGGCAGAAAATGAGGGGTCCTGTTTACCCCTTGTTTTACCGCCATCAGATTATCCGGTACCCTAGAAAGTGACGATGTTTGTCACCAACTAGTGTCATAAAAGTTTCTTATCGTCTGAACGCACCGAGTTCGACAGAGTTATGGATTTCTTATCAGCGATGCGACATGAATGATTAGAACAGGTCTTAAATTTATTTTTCTGAATGTAGGTAAAAATCAGCTCTGGGTTTTATCAATGTATATGCGTACGCAGGGGCAATCAAGCGTGTAGACGATTTTGATTGACATTATAGGTCTTTTTAATTCCAGCCAAGGCGCATTACAATTAGTCCGCGAAACGAAAAGGGCCGACACTTCCGAAATACAACAAATGCTCGCTTGCGTTCGAGTGAACCGTTGTTGATGAATGAAAACCGTAGTAGGTTTAACTTTGTTTTATAAATCCTAGGCTATTGTCAAACATGCGCTTTAACGGTGGATATATATGACATGGAGTAGCAAAGTCTGACGGCCAATTTGACTGCAGCCTTGAAAGAAGAAACAGCAAAAAAGCAATTTTCAATGTTATACCCATAGCTTAAAACTTTGCAAAAGGAAGACAATACAACAGACTTTAAAGACAATGGGTTACCTGTTGACTCTAATTTGTTTAATTTCATCGGATATTTTCTGTAACTTTGTGCATGGTTTTAGTACCTACCCTCGGAGATATAACCGGGGGTTAGATGGAGGGGGCACCTGTCCCAGTCAGTGTAGGTGTATGGACCTTAATCTTCGGGGGACTCGGGACGTTCTTGACGCCGTGGAGGGCGGGAGCAGATGGGCTGCTAAAGGATTTGAGGAGCTAACACAAATGATGAGCGATGCCCCCGCCGACACAGGAAGAACTATGGTGTGTCAGGGACTTAGACGACTCCCAACTCCAATACCCACAGGTAAATTTACAATAATTATAATCAATTTATTTTACATTCGTAAAGATTAGTGCTGGCAATAACCTCTTAAGTACTTCTTGATAGCAAGTACTATACGATTGCAAAGTGCCAATGTCTCGTTTACGTGATATAATCTATTTGGAGACTTCGATAGTTTGTGACATTTGGAAATCCCATGCAACCACACGATTGTGACCAGAAATGTTTTTACTACCATCTGACCTATATGTAATTCACACTGATGTGATTATGTTAATCAGAACATTTTTATTACGATAAATTAAACCGTGAACGCTTAAATGTCAATCGTAGGTTAGCGGAGCGAGCCTTCGTTTTCAGGAAGGACAGCGATTAGTTTAGTGCGGGAGACATGCATTTGCAGTTTGATGTAATCTTGATATTAGAATATCAATTAAACTCTTCTGGTGCGATTTAGCGTGCTAATCCTTTCTGAATTCTTCTTTCACAAATTACATTTCAATGGATACGGAACTGCAAAATTGAACACGGGGTACAAAGCCCATTCCTCCACATCTGGGATACGGGACCAAGCTAATCCGATCGTCGCGCAATTTGTATCTCCCAATGTTCGAATTATTATAAACTTGTCTGACGATTTTTCTGTTGTCACTTTACAACATGTAAAACTAAATTCTATCCCTGCTGCATAGGTATTGGTTGCAATCAGAGTGTCTGGTTGGGTTGGACTGACACGAGTTTAAACGTCCATCACATGTAATTTGATTTCAGTTGTCAGGTTCATTATTCCGGACCTGAAGAGGACGATTTAAAACATCAAAACTAGTTATATACCCATTTATTGTCTAGACGGACTTTAATGAGTTAATTTCGCAAATTTTGCACCTGTGGAACCCATTGTAATGTTCACTTAATAAATCCTGGTGTATTTTGTATGGTTTCAATTATTCAGAACACATAAACTTTATCAATTATTTCGATATTTGTTTGATTGTGTTATCCTTTCTTACCTGCAATGAGGAGCTTAGAAAAAGGTGTGTTGCAAATAATTGAACAGAAATATAATTTCAACTCGCTGTTTTTAATTCCATTTCGATTCTAAGGTAATTTTTCCCACCTGTTCGTTGTGAGAAGTAAGTCTATTAATTGAAAACCGTGGAACAGGTCCTATTGTGCAGCCAAATCCTTTAAAAGAGTCAATTCGCTTTCAACATATGTTCATCTTTTATCGCAAATCATTAAATAGAAAAAAATCTCTTTAAAGCATTTAAATAAACTTTATGTGTTCAAAACAGCAACTAGTAAACACGAATACCGGTTTCCTCAGACCTGTGTGACTGTGTGTCGATTTCTTTTCACGGATTAGCCCGAGAAAAAGAGGAGAGAAAAAATCGCATTAACTGTAAAGACAAAATTATTTCAGCATTAAAGAAAAGATATATGTCCTTTGTTGACCCCTACCTACATCATGTTCTCTAAATAAGATCTGAGGGAATCGTTTTCTCAATGGGAGAAACCCGAGAAAATTTTAAAAGATGTTTACTACGGTTGTATTAGAGATGGTAGAATGAGCGCAAACTCGGAGAAGGCTAACACTTTATGAGGCTATTTAACCCCCCGTCTGATGTGTGGCCTAAAAAAATTCGTGTATTGCACGACATATTCGTCCTGTATTCGTCCTGTTTGATCGAGTTCAATTTGAAGTTAAACATTTTCTGTATATACCTGTATATCTCTCATTCTGCCGTGGTCAAGAAGCGATATGAATCTGTATCACCCAACACCTTTGAAGAGTTGGTCATTCAAGTCACCCTGGTATTTATGAAGACAACTTGAACAAGCAGAAAGACAAACAAATGATAATCTAAGTTGACAAAAAGGTCAACATTTGGCAAGTGGTCAAGCTGGTTTTAAAAAGCGAAGACCCTTGAGATTATTTTATTAACCAATATCATTTTATCGTTTGTAATATAAAGAAAGAACTCTTCATATTTCATACATTTTAGTTATGGTAAGAAATCGTAGTCTTGACAAGTTTCAAATTAAAATAGGTACCGTTCATGCAGGCAATTTTTAAATGCAAATGCAGTAAATCTGCTTTAAACCCATCTATGGAGCTTAAGGTTGTATATCATATCGTAAAAAAAATCATTCATTGAGAAAAAAAATTATGTCAGGTGTCTTCCGCACAGGTAAAGCCTTACCTTTAAAACAGTTTGTATGAGAGAGAGCAAAGACGGGCTCAAAATCTGAATCAACAAGGGTTTGGTTTTCGGGTATAGATGAATAATCTCTTTAAACCTTAATTTATAATCGTGCGGTCTCTGTCAATATTCTTCTAAACAGGTTTTAAATCCAATATAGGTCAGAGAGAAAAAATCAATAAGACCTCAAAAGATAAGTCCACAAATATCGTCGCGGAAAAAAAAACCAAATTGAAATTTATGAATGAATTTGCCTTCAGATCATTGCGTGCCCATACTTATCAATGGGTAAGGTGTATATAACGTTTTCCGTAAGCGAAATAAAAAAAGTTATTGATAATCACTTTTAATTACAAGCAAATTTGAAAAAAGTTTGTTTATATAGTCAAAATAAATGTAGGCATGTTGTATACAGATTTAGTAAGGTCGACCTTTTCAATAACAAAGAATAAACGAGCGAACCGCACCCGCTGTAAAGCAGACCATTGCAATCTCAGACGTAAGCCGAAAAGGGTTAGATTTCTTAATAAATAATCAGAAATGTGCAACGAAACGCGTTCAACGATTAATAAGATAAAAGCGCGGCTCCTTCCTAATCCACGGATTAGACTCTCTTTGGGCATTGTTATAGGTTATTTGTATGCTCATTTTGCCAAAAATGGGTCAGAGAATACAGCTAAAAAGTACCTGAAGTATAATCACCTCAAATCTTTTCTTTGACATTCCGGTTACTGGTTTGAATGAACAGCTTTGGAACTGTCAAACCAAAGTTTGCACTGGTCTTAAAGAATACATGTATCACATGTAAAGTAAAAAATCTGTCAGAAACGTCTAGAATTTTTTTTAACCAATTATAACAATACTATCATATATTTGTCTGCATTTAAACTGAAGCCAAAAAGAATTTTAAAAAGGGGAAAAAAACACTCAGCATAAATGCAATAATTTCCCTACTGTTGGAAATGAAGAACAAAATCTTTATTTAAATAAAGAATCCTTACGATATCAGATCATGCAAAATGACTAATTCTTGAGCGTGAATTAGTTCGAATTCCGATCCCGATCATTTGGGACCTTCCGCTGTTATGTAACATTTTTTCGCGCGCCTTTTAGCCGCCGGTAGCCAGTTCAACGTAATGAACACCTTCATTTAGTCAAACAAAATGAGATCTTTATAGCATTACATAACTTTTTACCTTGTGAGTCTAGCACTTCCAGCGCACAAACGCCCTCAAATAGTTGACAAGGGTCATTAGTTACTGACTTAAGATCTTCTTTTTCATTTTCTAGATGATTTTTATAATCTTTTTGATAGCAATAATGGCTAGAAAACACTAATGCCTGACCTTAAACATAAATACAACATTAAAATAATTAAATAAGATATGCATATGGCCAGACATCATATTAGAAAAGTATGTTTAACGGAAGATTTAAGAATCTTATTATTTTACAATAAATTTATTAACATGTAAAGTTGCATCACAAGAACAAAAGCAAAATGAGTTGTATTTCTGAATGAAAAAATTATAATTCCTTTTGTTTACATTTCAGACATAACGAAGCTAACAATTTATGGCGACAGTAGTTCCGGGATGCCGGAAACTGTGGCGGACCAGCCTCGCGGCGACATCCAAAGGGTCCCGCTAATATCCGACACCCAGATACGCTACATAGAAACCAATTCCTTCCGGGACAACACGGAAATGAAAGAACTCACGATGTCCGGAAACAACGTAGGAATCCTCTACCCATACACCTTCCAACATCTACGGTCTTTAGAAGTCCTAAACTTCCCGAATAATAATGTGCGCCACCTATCGGCTGCTGTTTTCACTGGTCTTGCTTTATTGAAACAGTTGCAGTTATCTGACAATATGTTCCAATTTCTACCGAGCACTGTATTCGATGATTTACAGGAACTTAAGATTTTGCATTTAAATGGCAATAAGATTAGATATATACAAAGAAATCTCTTTGCACCATTGAGGAAGCTGGAAATCTTGGACCTTTCCAGAAACAACATCACTGATTTATTTGATGACGTCTTTACAACCAACACTGAAATTAAAGAATTATTACTGAACGGAAATCGTCTCAGGAAAATTCGTGCCAAATGGTTTGAGAACCTAACCAACTTACGAAGTTTATCACTACGAGGTAACGTAATAAAGTCGATTGAATCTCGTACATTCACAAATCTTTTCAACTTGGAAGAACTCTTACTGTCTGCAAATCACATCAGCGAAGTCAAGGACAATGCATTTGAAAGTCTAAGAGACTTGAAAATTCTCGATTTGGCCACCAACGACATTACAGACATACCAAAAATGTCATTTTTCCAACTTGAAAGTTTAGAAGAAATGTACCTGGGCGGAAACAAACTACAGACAGTAAGGAACTATACATTTTATCACATTAAGTTCCTCAAAACATTGGACATTTCAAGAAATCTCATAGAAACGATAGAATATGGATCATTTCACCAACTGCGCCAGATTCATGAACTTGATCTATCCCATAATAAATTGAGAAAAATTGAAAAGGACTTGGTTTTGGGGATGGAAGAACTCCGAGAAATTAATTTGGAGCATAACTTTATTAGTGACATCGAAGGTGAAGCTTTTAAAACCGCCACAGACCTAATGTCGTCTAAGGTTTCTGTCCTCGATCTCCAAGGCAACGATCTACGTAAGATAGGAGCGGAATGTTTCAAGGGGCTTCCTCAATTAAAATCTCTTGACATGGGAAATAATAAATTAAGACGAGTGCATAGTATGGCTTTCGCTAGTTTGGGCAACTTAAGAAAACTAACTCTCAGCAACAACAAATTAAAAAATGCCAATAATGGGTTATTTTCAAACCTCGTGCGACTACAGGAACTCGATTTGTCCACTAATAAGTTCCAATCAGTGCCATCAAATGCTTTCAGCGGCCTGGTCGACCTTGAAGATCTAAACATTGCTTACAACAGCATTCATGATCTCTCTGACAATGCCCTGCGCCCCCTGCGTCACTTGGCCCTCCTTAATTTGAAAGGAAATAAACTGCTTAACTTTAATTTCACGTGGATATCGAATCTTCCTCAATTGTCCAGCGTCGACCTCTCCTCCAATTACTTGTTTTGGATTGATGTCCCTGAAAGTGTCAAACTGAGCCTGAAGGAACTCTCGATCGCTAATAACAACCTTAAAACGGTACCCTCCTCAATAAAAAAGATCTTCGCCCATTCACCTTTTCTTGACATGACAGGAAACGCAATGGATTGTGATTGTAAGCTAAGATGGCTTCTGGATCCCGGTCTGTCAAGCACCGTGCACGTGGATAAAATGGATGAAATCATTTGCAAAACTCCAGACAGACTTCATGGACGAAAGGTTATTATTTTTTCTTTACTATTTAAAAATCTTTAATTTTTCATTATAAGGTAGGACTTTTATTTTTATTTTGCAAATAAATTGAATTCTTAATTAATTTTGTAGCTGAAACATCTTATGGACACAGATTTGGAATGCACAGACCCCGGAACTCAAAAGCACCAATCGTCGTTAATGTGCAGCGCTATGACTCTTCAACAGAAATCATCAATGTCACCAAGGTAAACTACATAGGAAAAAAATATTTTACTACTCAAATTCTGGTTGAAGTATATACTTAACTCAGATTGTAACACGCATATTGTCTAAAGCTCATAATTTCATTGATATTTCAGACTTGGGAATAAAGTTTCCATCAGGCGACATGCCACAATCTTTGACAGCAATCGTCAACCAATAGCTAACGGTATCGTTATTGCAAACGGCTGGATCCTAACGGTCGGGACAGCTGTGGAGTCAGAGGCACAGTCCACGATTAACACTAGGTTCAGCGTAAGGATCGGTCGTGGGAAGAAACCAGTCAGGATCATCAGTATCCTCTCTCATCCATTAGTACCTATGAAAATGCAGCAATATAACGTGGCACTGATCCGGTATTCCACCGGAAAGAGGAAAGGAAATATTGATTATCCATGTTTTTTAACGCAAAACCAGTATGACTCTGTCTCCAAAATTATACAGAAAGTGTCTTTCACGACTAGACTTTCCACAAAGAGGCGGTATGCCAAACTTAAACCAAAGAAAGGACGATTATCAAACACATGCTTTAGCGAAAAGTTTATCTGTTCAAAAGTGAAAGTAGGAAAGAAAAAGAAAAACGAAAGCATGCTAATCGATGGGTCGCCATTATATCTAGGGCGTCCGGGAGATTCAAAAATGGCTGGATTAGGAGTTTATATGAAGACTACAAATAAGTTTGAATATGCTTTTTTGCCTATTTGGTCAGTTTCCGACTGGATAGGGACAGTAATAAAAGAATTTGACTCGAAATGCACTGTGGACAAAAGAAGTGCAAAATGTGAAAACTTAAAGCTACCATCAATAGAAGATATGATTATGGAACTCCAACCCATGGAAGAGCATTAATACACGTGACGTCAGTCATTCCCTCCACAAACTGCAAAAAATGAAATCCGTCATATCATTAACTTATCGACAATTCAGTCATGGTCATTCACTTTTTATTCACTTGCCTCCTATACGCATTGGACATAATATTTATATGTGATTTTTAGTTCCTTCCATTTTTGTACTTGTCTCAGTCACGTGATTACTCCGCCGCAAGATGGCGTTTTGTAATGTCGGTGGTTGTTATGTTATATTTTGTTTTACAGTAATTTTGAATTTTGATGTTCATTATTTTATGGTTGTTAGATTGAGAAGTCTAACTTTTTCATATGACTGAATTTTGTCAGACATATTCATTAAATATTTTGTCATAAACGTATCCCTGCAATAGTTAGAATGGTTAGAAACTTTTTATCGAATGACTGGTGTGCATTGTAAATATTCATTAGTGTTCATTAATTTTATTTAATTTATGGCATCATTTTAGTTGAATGTTGTATTTGCTATCAGCATAGATCATAGCATTTTTATAAAATGTAAATACCAGTTTGATTCATAGTTTTTAATTAAGAGTTCATTCATTAAATTTTGCATTTGTTACCTAGCATCATAAATCAAGTCATTATTTTATTTTTTACAAGTATCAGAATGTTCAGATCTTTGACATTTTATATTTTGTTAATAAAAATTGTTGAGCTGTTTTAAGACTTCATTTAGTTATTTCAGCACACTTGAAAGGCAGGTAGTGTAAGAAATGGATTTGACCTAAATAGATTAAAAAAAAAAATACAGTACAGAGAAATACTTACTTTAAAAGTAGCTGATACTTAAGGCAGCCTACCTGTTTGATAAATGTTTTATTTGAGGACAGTGTAATGTATTTAAAATCATATACATTTCATATTTTTCTAGATTTATTTGCTCATTTGAAGGTTATTAATGATTCTGTTAAACACAGAAGTTCATTAGGAAAAAAATTCGTTCAAAATACGCAGTAAATGGGTCATTCAAAAAGTGGAAAATTTTGAGACATAAAACACATATACAAACAAAAACAAAAATCAAATAAAAAATTGAATGGCATCATCCATTTAATTTACATAGTAATCCATTACAGTCACATTTAGTTGATATATATCTGATGATATATACTTCTTTTAGAGTGAAATCAGTGAATAAAAAGTGCAACAATCTTGGCTCACATATTTAACACTAAATAAGAACCCGAAAATCACAAATAAATGTGTCCTTTCTGACATATTTTTTATCAAATTAAATCTGCCATATCGCTATAGTTTTCTAAAAATAAATCATCTTACCATAAACGATATATATTACAAAAATACAATATTGCACAAGAATCTAAGTGGTAGATTCATAAATATTTATACACTTGTTTAACATTATGATCAAACAGTTATAATCTGACACCAGAGACATATATGGTTTTACATGTCTCTGCTGACACTAAATCTGTTAAATGAAATGAATACAGTTTCCTTGGATTGTATTCCTTCGTTAAGGTTAGTGAAATCGTAAGATTTCGAAGCAGAACACACCGTTTTAAATTAAATAAGAAAAAAAATATACGTTAAAATCACTATCTATCATATGAATGTTTTACAAGTGTAGTTCTACATTTAAAAAAACCCATTAAATATCAGACTGTTTTAGGCCCGTGGACCAAAAAATTTTGATATATTTTCAGGTGTAAGTAACACATCAGCTATGTTTCTTACATTGTCTGTCATTTGGAAGGTTCCAAAGTTGCCTAAAAGAGTCCAGTAATGTGAGCATATTTCACTGCAGTAACATGTAGGTGATATACGGGAAATTTTTTACTTTTTGTTTAATTATTTAAATGCAGTACGAACCTTTTTGCACTCTGTTCTATCTCACTTATATGCTAAAATACTTGGATTAACATACAAATCTACATATATCACTAAACAAGCTCTCATACAACAATGGACATTCAAGTCCTTACAGGTTACCAGGGCACGTCTACCACCTTCCAGCCACTTTATTATACTACTTAGCTATTCAAAATATAACACCAATGTCTTTTCCCACCGAACAACTTCGCTATTTGAGCCACTTTTATACAATAAAGTTGTCTATACTGTATCTATAATTTTTATAAATCGATACAAGTAAACTATAATATCTTACTAAAGATTCTAGATCTTTACCATTCAACTTGATATTCTTAATACTTAAATTAACGGTATTGATATATTTATAACTTGGTTCGTTAGCTGCTTGTAATCAACGATATATATCTCTATCGTCAATTTGTCTACTGCTTAAATTGCTTTTGCCAATCACAGTTCCATTTAAGGCATCCGGCAAACGCTACCTGTTATGTTTACTATGCCCTAACAGCTTCAAATAAATGTATCATAATATGTTAAGTACAAATTAAGGATATGCATTTACTTTGATATTCAACCATTAAAAAGTTGCATGGTGAATAAACTTGATAAAATTTATTTAAATGCACAATTCAAGAAATGCACCAAAACTAAAGTTCAAACCTTCCGCTATAAAGTGAAGTTTAATCGTTCATTGTTGGTTTAAGTCAAGTAAGTCTACATGTAGGCTAGTACAAATGACCTCTCTATAACTTAACTATGGCACTCTTAGCCAACCCTCATTTTCTCCCAGGATACTTCTTAACCCGTCAAACTTACTTGTGCATGTAAGTTAATTCCTTTACATGCAACAGACATCTCTACTACTTAAGTTTTTTCACTGACAGTAGACTTCTTAACAACAAAGCTAACAGATTGCTTAAATGTTATTTCTCTTCCCGTAAGATGAACCACTAAGGGTGCCTTTCCCATTCAAAAGAGACTTTGTCTACCGGTAAACTTCACTATTACAACCCTTTAACTTCCAGGAAACCTCTCTACCACTACGTTTTACCCCGTAAACTAACTCTTACTCATAGGAGACCAAGCCTAATCACTAAGCCTGAAGTAAAAAAGACATCTCTATTTTAACTTATACTCAAAGTTACTTTTCTAAGGAAGCAATTCTTCAAAATCATATGTCAGTTTTGAATATTTTTAATTTCCCATACGATCAAAATGAGTTTGAATTCCCATATCTATATTGGATTCTGAAGCTTCATAAAAAACTTTTAAACAAAGATACATAGCGGGTTCCAGTAAATATTCAACCAAGCCTCTTTCTTTACTCCTTTCAAAGATCTTAACAGTAGTGAAGGAGAAACTTCAAGAGTACTGTGCAACAGTATATTCAAGAAGTGGTGTTAATAAGATGTGGATACTGAAAAATTCCAAAGAACTTTTGGACAATTTCAATCACAAGATTTTACAAAAATCAACAGCTTAAAAACATACAATTTTTCAACTTTATACAAATCCATTCCCCACGATAAAATGAAGTCCAGGCAATTGGCAAAATTGTTATGGAATGGTAATAAACACTCTGATTGTACACACAAGTACTCTTAATATTTAAAAGATGCTTGAGTATCTGATTAATAAATATAATTATACGGAATTCGTGAAGATTAGGTCTTGGGTGTAATTGTGGTCCATTGTAAACAGACCTTATTTTGTATTGTTATGAAGAATAATTTATTTCAAAAAACGGATACATGAAAAGAAGAAATACTTGTAGTGCCCTTCAATTTGACACTCACATTTAGATATATCGAAGATGTATTTTTGATTTAAAATAGTTACTTCCATTCATACGTCTTCATACTCTTTATATCCCAGAGAGTTTGTATATTAATAGATACCAAAAAGTCTAACAAATATGTTTCATTTTTGTATATTGTACTAGAAGAAGATGTTAAGAGTTATTAAACAACCAAGCTTTGTAATATACGTGATGACTTCAACCTTTCAATCGTCGACTTCCCTTACTTATGATATATATTGAAATAACGAACAATATCAAGCTCTAAAGTCCATTTAACAATACAAAATAGGAGTAGAGCAAACGCGGACCTCCAAAACATCAGAGGTGGGAACAGGTGCCATAGAGAAGTGTGTATCCCCTGCCGACCTGTCACATCCGCCGTGTGCTCCTTGTCATGATCGGTAAATAACGGTAAAATCCGTCGTCAATTTAGTATGTAAATAATGGACTAACAATTGGTATGAAAAACGTCAGTCAGCATTTTACTCAATGATAAATTGTATATTCTGAAAAGGTCATTGTATCGACCATAAAACTTACGAAATAATGACTTTAATCGAGACTGCTGATATTCTTGTTTCATCAACTTGTTTGTCAATAATTTACTTCGTTTTAGAAATTGTACATACGTAGAACATGCATGTCGAATCAACTGAGAGATATAAACTCCGTATGCAAGTGATGAAGGTATATTGCTCCACAAGTAAGGAAGGTTGACGATTGAAAAGTTAAAGTCGTCATATCATAGAGCTTGGTTGTTAAATTACCATTAACTTTTCAAATAAAATATTCAAATACGAAACAGATGTTTCAGACTCTGTGGTATCTTTTATCTCAAGCTCACCGGGATATATCATATCGACATTAGAATGGAAATAACCATTGTTAATTGACAACACGTCGTCGATATATCAGTAATGTCGAGTTAAAGGCCATAGAAAATGTTTTCTTCTTTTCACGTTTAAGATTTTGGACAAATTCTGCCTCATATATATACAAAAATAGGTCTACTTATAACGGGGTGCAATTAGTACCCATGTAGTAAATAGTAATATATGTATACTCTTATCAGATGCATATAATGTTTATATCTCTAGATTGATTCGATACACAAAAAGCATGCTCTACGTATGTACATTTTCTATTAATCGTCTCGTTTGAAGTCATTATTTTTTAGTCGATACATGATCTTATCAGCAAATACAACCTATTATTGTGTCAAATACTGTTTTGTGTTGACTGACTTTTTTTTCATACTAATTGTTAAGCCATTATTTAAACACTGAAATATTTACAATTTTTTCCCTGATCATAACAAGGAGAACACTTCAGTTTTGACCGTTCGGGAGAGGATGTTCACTCCTCCATAGTACCTGATCCCACCCCCGACGTTTTGAGGTTTGAGTATGCTCTGCTCCTGATTTTATTGTTTGAATACTGAGCTTCAATACTGTTCGTAATCTATATATATTTCATTTCAATTACATTTTCTACCACTATGATTGACCTCTACGCTTATCATTTTACTTGAATGATATATCTCTGCCAAGAAAACTCCAAGTTGAATAAAAAATAGTAAGCAACTGTTCCTTCTCCAAGCGCTTGGCATTTTGAAGTGCAGGTTGCGGGTCTTTCGGGTGAGACCTTAACTACATGTTCTGAAAACTCTTGTCACAGCGTTTGCACAATAAAGTTCCCTCACTGTTCAATAGCCCTGAGTGTCGAGTACAAAGTCTAAATTTGAAGCCCTTCAGCAGTATATGATGACGTCTCAATTTAAGTGCAAAATCTCGAATGTGACGTAAAATATCATTCAATCAACCAATCAATCTGTCAAGAAACTCTTCAAGCATTCCATTTAACCACAGTAGCTTCAACAATTAACTTCTCATACATTTTTTTCTCATCTTTCACTATAATACTTGATTTTTTGCACCAACTAAATAAGTGAAATTTCTCTTTTTTCATATTAGAGAGTAACTCATTT